AGTACATGAGTTGGTGGCCGGTGCAGTCTCAGATAGTCTAAGGAGCGGGTGTGGGGCGGGGGGGGGGGGGGGGGGGGGGGGGGTGGGGGGTGGGGGGGGGGGGGGGGGGGGGGGGGGAGGGATCGAGCACATTTGTTAGAAAATGTCCGATATATAGATTTAATAGAAATAAATATAATAGACTCTCTATTTTATTCATATTAAATATAGTATAAAAGATTTAATTACCTGAACTTTGTTCAGTTCTATGTCATGATAATATGTAATACAAAAGGTTTGATTCAGATAATAAATAAACTTCCATTGAACTATATCTCATTAAAAAACATATCGGTGCTCTTAGTTCAAAATCACTTGACCTTTTTTGTTTGTTTCTAATCGGATTAAATTGTACTACTCCGTCAAAAATATTCATTTAAATGATCGATTTAAAAATGAAAAATTCAGTATCCATTTTAAAAAGAAACATAAAATCTTTAAATTATTGCTGATGTCACCAATAACGAATAAATTTTTAAATGTCTACCATCTGTACAATATCATTGTTAGTAATGATTAATTATTTATTTTGATCATTTCATTAGTTTAAAAGAAAAGAAAGATCGAGAATCTTCATAAAACTTTAATTTTGAAATAATTAACAGTAAAAATAAATGACCTTTTCAAAAAGAGAAAAAGAAAAACGTCTCATTTACTAACGAATAATTCCACTTTATTGTTTATATGTTTGACGGTATTATTCACTTTTACGCATAATTAAGAAGAGAAAAAGAAGACGAAAGGGATCAACATTACTTTTTCTATTGTTGACCAAAGACAACAAAAGCAACTGTTCGGATTTATATTGAACTTATTCTCTTTTTCGTTGGCTTACTCTTTTATTTCTATGTCTCGTTTTCTTCTCTTCCCGACATATGTATTCATATCAAACAGATCGTCATCTTAAGATCAACTGTAAACTGTCCTTCAATCAACAATCATTTAGTACGAGAGAAAAAGAGAAAGAAGACACTCATCAGTTGGTTAGATGAAAGTTGAAACCAAGTATAAAGAAAACGTCGGACCTTGAATCGATTATTGTTTCAATTAGATAGACAACACAGACAGAATTTATTTTGTGTGTCGAGACATGAAAGGCAACAAACAAAAAATATGTACTATGTAAAAGAGTCTTTTCTTGTCTATATTCAAGAGATACTAGGCGCTTAAAAAATAGAAAAAAAAATATCATGCGAAAGTAAGATGATTTGCAAAATTTTTCAATTTTTGACAAAGACAATTAATTTTTTCTTGTCTTGAATAGAGAAACATTAACTTGTTTTATTCTAATTATTTCTCTTCAACAAATACTTGGACATGGACGAATGGAGGATCCACCTGCTCGAAATGCTGCATGGCGTTTCGGTAAGAATTTCTTTATGAACTTTTTCATTATTAATTTTTATTTTAGGTTTTAATATTCCCGCTAATTATGATGATGTTGGACTAAATTGTGGTGGTTTAAGTATTCAAAAAGCAAATGGTAAGTTATTTAATCATAGATCTCAAATTTAATAAATTGATAATTAGGTGGTAAATGTGGTGTTTGTGGTGACTCTTATTCTGGTTCACGAGATCATGAAGTAGGTGGTAAATATGCAACGAATATCATTGTTCGAAATTATATGTCAGGTTCATTAATTGATGTAAAAATCTTGGTAAGATAGAAAATAAGTTTCTTGTTTAAGAAAATTCAATTCATCTTATAAACATCTTTTATCGGTTTTGTTTTATTTTACAGTTAACAGCAAATCATGTAGGATTTATGGAACTTCGTTTATGTCCAGCATTAGATCCAAATAGTGAAGTAACACAAGAATGTTTAGATAGAAATCTACTTCATATAGAAGGTTTTGGTACACAATATCCAGTTAATGAAGGAATAGATTCAATTTTTTTAAGGTAAAAAATATATTAAATTGATTGTTCTTGACTTTAATTCTTTTTTTCGATTACCTAGAGCTCATTTACCCGATGGTTTATCATGTTCACACTGTGTATTACAATGGCGTTATCATGCTGGAAATAGTTGGGGTACAGATATTAAGACAAGAAAATCATGTCTTGGCTGTGGTCATCAAGAAGAATTTTACAAGTAATTATTTTTTTTCTTTTATTTTTATTTCAAAGTTTAGATTGTTTTAGTTGTGCTGATATTAGTATTGCTTCTAACGATAATGATTTATTATTATCTTTACCAACAACTACTGTAACACAAGAGTCATTGTTTGCTTTTCCATTTTTTGATTCATTTGTTTTTCCTTCGGGTATCGAACGCTTCCCTATGTTTGCTTATCCAACCACGACTACAACTGAACCGACGACGACAACTACAACTACAACTACAACAACAACAACAACAACAGCAATGAATATTATATTTCCACTTCGTCCATCAAAAGAATTTATTAATCAAATAAATAAAAACAATAAAACACGTCGTTGTTATCCAACTCATGAAGTTCTTAAACCAATAGTTGGTATAGAACACTGGTGTTTGCATTTATGTGCTGTACATTGTCCACCAACATTATGTGCTTGTATCCAAATTTAAAAACTATATCTCGTATTAAGAAAAGAAAAAGACAAAATATAAAACTGTTTTACATTGTTTTATTCTTGTGTATCATTTTATTCTATCTAATAATATTGACATAAGAAATAATCATTTTATCTGTGTGTTTTTAAGAAAGAAAAAAGAGTAACCATCTAATTATTACTATAAAATATCAACAGTAAATTTTATATCAAATGAAAGTTCATCGAAAATGAAATTTATCTATATCGAAAGCATGAGAAGTCAAACAAAATGAAGACATTATCATTCCAGGAAGTATCAAGCGTGACTAAGATGCACGATATACGACTGCTTTTTGATTGTGCTCTCTTTTTATCTTCTTCTTTGGAACTTGATTATAATGATATATTATCGTAACAATGTAAATGATAGAAGAGCATTCATTTCTATTTACTACGAGTCACTTTTTTTAATCTGCGATGCTCTCGTTTCTGTTATTTTTACAACATATTGATTTGATGATCTGCTGAAAAACTCTAGAACAGAAATGTTTTAACATTTTGACTTTTCGACAGTGATAGAAAAGCTATTACGGGCGTAAATACGATTGTATTCGCCATGCACTATGCATGATAGCTACAGTTTTGGTTAAAAAAATGAAGTTTATTATGAAGTTTAAATAGAAGATTGAAAACAAACAAAATCTGACAAAAAATTGAAATGAAATATGAATGGCCAATTGTTTTATTTGTTGTTATTTGATAATTATTTAATTTACAATTGTTCGTCACAGTACCTAAAACATTAAGAAGATGAGAATTCATGCTATCCCTGTTGGCAATATAGTACACTTGCATACAGTATTAGTGTAGTAATAGCATTAATTGTGTTTTAGATTTTCTGTAACAGTATGAATAACGTTCTAGAGCACAAAAGACAGAACCGAACTGAAGGCTAGCCAAGAACTCAGCTCCAATAAGGAATATTTTCTTTTTTGTATCATTATTCCAACGTCAACAGACGCAGAACAAATGAAATCAAAATTCATAGTGATGATATTCATCATGAATTATTTCTAATTTAATTGTTCGAGATGCTGATTCAGTTTGATTATTAGTCATGATTTCATCTCATGTTCCGTCAGATTTTTCTATGATTTTTTTCTCTTAAATCGATTCAACTTGTAAGGTGACTATCAACTCGATAGATGCCATGGAAAAAAGGCTTTTAAGAATGAAAATAATCGATCATTGATTGGACTGAGGTAAATTTGGCGACAAAGAATAAAATGTAGCTTCGTCAAGACTATTTACATTTTCATACAACTTGATTGCAACATAATAATATCATATCTGAAGAAAATTTTTGATCAGTTAAATGATTCAACTTTGATCAAAGTTCTGAGAGAATCAGCTTCTTTTAGTCAATTAAAAAGAAGTCATTGTTTTGCGTCAACTAAAATTTCATAGTATTTTATCTGTTGTGATTAATAAAACTCTTAACCAAGCAGAACTAGAGATGTACGGAATCAATTTTAGTCCCGGGATCGAAATCAAAAACAAAAATATACCGGGTCTAAGTCTATGATGATATTGGGAAAAAAAAGATATTCGAATCAAATATCTCGAAACTGGTAAGAAGAAGCGTAAGTCATTCAATTGGGAATCGATTCTCTCTATTTAACATCTAATGGATCGCACAATCGATGATATTATTCGATAAATTCATTCAGTTGATCAAAATCGTCGTGGCATTGATCAAACTGCTCGACAAGTGTATCAGCATTAACGATATACTACGTAGTTACTGATAGACATTAAAGGCCATTAAATGATCAGAAACGAATAGGATATAATCAGTATTTTTATTTCACTGTATTAAAAAAAGGTAAACCGATTCGAGAGAAAGCAGAAGATTTATCTAATTCATGGTTGCACTAATAAACTTAAATTCGAATCAGATTCTTCACTTTTACGCTAAGATGGTGTCGTTTGATTCCATCATCCCATTGATGACATTCTAAGACATCGAAAGTAAACAATGCTGCCTTGTTTATCAACTATTTTTCTCTGTTCAGATTAACTAAATCATGCACTTGATGCCATCGATCGACAGATGCTGACGCCTTGTCAACGCTGCCTTGTGAGCAAGCATATGACTACGCCGCTAAACAAAGAAATATTTACCTGCTATTATATCAATTATTGATTGAATGCAGACAGCGTTGTCAATCGTATATTTTGACGATACTTGACCCTCCATCTGACCAGGTTCATCCGGTTCCGATACTGAGAATTTTTGATCTACAACCGTGTTATTGATATAAAAAAAACTTTCTGTTTTAGAACTTATCGTGTGAATCATTCAACAGACCACGCATGTCATTGAAGTCTCTACACCTTATCATCTTCGATCAAGAGTCAGAGCAGTTCATCGTCAACAATACAACTTCTTTTGATTAATATGTAGTAGAATGTTATTCATGCTGTTACAGAAGAGCTGAAATACGATAAATGAAAGTATTCTATTAATATCTGAAGGGATTATAAATAAATCGCCCTGTTACAATCGATGCTTTATTGATTTTAGACTAGATAAATGGTAGCAGGAAAAAATCATCATGTGGTTTGTATGATTCAACATCGTAGTTTGAGGGAACTGAGGCTGTTTTAACAATATTCTACAGTAAAGTCAATAGCCCTAAAACGAACTACAATTTCTAAAAATCTCATGGAATTTTTAATCATTGATCACAGAAGAATATAGAAAGAAGCCTATACAGGCAACATTTTATCTCTTTTGTCCACCTTTGCATCAGTTTTCAATATGTCTTTCCATATTGTTTTCGAGAAAGAAATGGAATTGATAAGAGATTAGCTATTGAGAAAATTAAATGTTAGTTTGTTCATGCCTAGATGATCAGCCAATGCACAATTTCGTTTCAGTTCGTTAGCTTCATGAGTAATCTTATGAGTTTTGAAAATATGCTACAGCGAAAGAAATGGATGCTTCACACCGATTGTTGCCATATGATTATCGTATTATATCTAAGATGAAGAACATCAATGATACGTAGAAAGGCATCCAGCTGAGCTTAGTCTAAAGTAAAAATGTAATCTCCTATAAGAAATGCACGTACCCTTCTTTCCTAATCTAATCTAATCTAATCTATCAATAGAAAATGAGTTGAGCTTACCAAATAGTGCTCGCGAACACTCAATTAATTGAAATATGCAATTATGATCGCTTTCACAAATTACGAACTATGCGAAACCATATGCCGTCATGATTAATACTTTCTTTTTTTTAATCAAGCAGGGACTTATTTAAAACTCACGACTATGGAGATCATTACTATCTTCTTTTCTTCTTTTATTATCGATCTCTTCGAATACATGTTTTCGTTTCATTTTCATTTGATCGCCACCTCAATTTGGATTTTATGTAGTTTGTTGAGTTTCATCTGTTTCACCTGAAAAAAATAAGGTAAATGTAGATTTGTGAATGGCATTTTAAGCGATTACTATTCATGTAGCAATCCGTTGTCAAAAGGATTACTACAAAGTAGTCGAATCGATCAATGCCAAATACTTTCAAATAAATCAATAAATAAGTAAGCAATATATTTTACTAAAACGATCTAGACTATCTATGGAGAAGAAGTAAATTGAACTAATTATCGTTCGGCGGACTCTTAATAAAGAAAAAGAAAAGCTAACCAATATAAAAAATGACTCTGTAAGATATTTGAGAAACAAATATAAATCTTTTTCATATAGTTTTTCTTTTCTACTCTATCAGGCGTCGACCTCACAATGAGATAAATGTAAGTCTTTAGAGAAAGACTTCATCTATTCCATGACATGTCTGTTATCGAATTCTGTTGCACACAGCTTTTAACTGACATTCTGATTTGTTTCTCTATGACTAGGGATGCCAGCTTAGAGTTCCGTTCCTAGAAACTCGGAACCCAGTGCGGGTTCCCGTTGTTAGGAATCCGCGAACCCATAGTGATTTGATACAAATTGAAAGAATAGGTATGTCTAAACATCCCGAGATGCTCGGAAATGTGTGGAAACGAATTTTCAAGTGGATTTCCGTTCCTTAGAAAAGGAATCTAACGGAACGGGAACCCTGACACCCCTGTCTATAACTTTGATATCGCTATAGAAAATCCCATATTGAGTCTATAATTTTTTGGTTTCATTTTTTCTCATAGTACAGAATAGAACTTTATAAAATATGCTGCATCGGATAGAGGAAATCATCCTCGATAAAGCAACATCTATACTATTATGTGGTCAAAAAAACCGCTATGAAATTTATAATGGATTCTTTTTTTCAGAATGAAAACTTACGATTGTCAACGGAATCCGATACGACATAGCGAGTAATACCATCATCATCAACCAATAGTTTTATTTTACCATCTTCAATTAATTTATCAAATTCGTTGATTATTTCTTTTTGTTGATAAAGATGTTAATAAGGAATAAAGTTCTTCGATTGAAAAAGATATACGATGCCTTCTGAACTAAGTTTTGTAAGAGATGGAAGTGTCATTTTTCTATAGACTGTTGTATATTCGTTGACGGTGATTCTGAAAAGTTGAAGATTGATGAGATTGTCCGGATTTTCTTTGATTTATGCTAGTGTTAATTTAACGAAAGAAGAAGTCTTACAATACATGTTAAATTGTCCTTGTCGAAAAAGACCAGATCCTTGAAGTATCGTCTGGATAGCACGATCAGCAGCAACGTTTTTGTTCTACTTTCCTAACCAATTGTAGTCGGTAGTTTTCGTCGATAACCAAGACAATAAGATAAATGGTGATTCCATAGAGAGAAGGATATACTTTTCATTGTATGTTGATTGCTTCCTGCAAAAATTAAGCAAAGACATCTGTAAGATTTCTGGTTGGACAGACAACAGGTGATCATTTTCTTTCTTTCTGTATTTTTTTATTATTATGAGTCATATAACATCTGGTCTTGGCAATGACAGGTTATCTGTTGAAACGTCGACTTTCTTGTAAA